AGACTGCACAGTCCAGGGGGGGGCATGTGGAATGATAGCTCCCTGTGATTGAGTTTTTGCAGGGTCTTATAGGGAAGAAGGTCAGCTCTTCTGTGTGCCCTGGGTGGAGCTGTGCCTTCTGTGAGGAGCACCTCACACTGCATGCCACCTGCCCCAAGAGCGGCCTGCAGGCCAAGCCGTCCTGGTTGAGCGATTCCAAAGTGATTTTGTGGTTCAAAACGGTTGTGAAAATGGCAAGTGTGTCTGACCGCTTCCTTCCTTCCTTTCCAACAGAAGCCTGGGATGGTCCCCCCTCCTCCGGGAGAGGAGAGCCAGACGGTCATCCTTCCACCTGGCTGGCATAGCTACTTGTCTCCTCAGGGCCGCCGTTACTATGTCAACACGACTACCAATGGTGAGTCCTACTCAGGAACAACCTTTTCTAACCCCCGGAAGTCTGTCTCTTCCGGGGGGTGCTTTGCTCTCTCTCCAACCCTGTGGCTTGGGGGCTTTTTCTTTGTAAATCTGAGTCAAGGAAAGGTAGCCTGGCATTTAACCCTCTTGCTCTAGAATTGTTGATTATATGACAGGGTGCTACAGTAGAGTCCTGCACATTCCTAGTGCCGGCTGTTGTCACCTTGGTCTGCATTCTGTGAGCAACTTCAGGGGACAGCTTCCAGATTCCCAGTATCCCTGACACCTCACACCCACCTTCATTGAACTCAACCTTAGGATCAAGGTCTGGACTGTTCACAAATGACCTCAGAGGCTAATTCAACAGGTCAAGGTAATCTGTATTGTCTAGGGACTGTTCTAATGGTACTGAAGATCCAGAGGCTGCAAATACTCTCCCTAATTTTACTTTAACACCCTTTTCTCAACTGATGTATCTCACTGGCTGCTGTTCTGTGGATCGTCCCTTTGGAAATGGTGGGGCTATGTGTGGATCATTCATCTTCTCCCTCAGTACTGGGTCCCTGCCCCCACCCCCTGTCTTCCCCTTACTTTTTCCTTTCTTTTCCCCTCCCCTTCTCTCTTCTCTTGGCTCCTTATTCGTTTGAAGCCGTCTCATTTGGTAGGCTTGACTGGCCTGGAATTCACCATGTAGACCAGATTGGTTAAATGTGTGCCAGTTCTTCTCTGACAGCCTCCCAGGTGAGAGAATTAGAAGCCTGTATGTAGCCATCCAATCACTCCCCACATACCTCCCAGCTGAGCAGGACTGGAGCTCTGTGCTCCACAGAGTTAAATTTTCCTGGACCTCCCAAATGACTCCAGGATCCCAAACATGGAGATGGTTCTACAATGCTGTACCATAGGGCTAGTCTTGGTACAAGTTAAGCAAGGCACTGTTCAGATGTAGTATAAGGTAAACCAGCTGCGAAGTCCTGGCCTCCCTGTATCCCCAAAGCCTCTCCTTGAGAAAACCAAGAGAAGCAACACAAGGAAAATTAGACTTGGTGGGCATCGTAGACATATGTGCCAAGGCAGAACATGAGTGGTGAACCTGTCAGTTCCAGTACTGGCCTCACTTCTGTCTTCTGTGCCCATCTGACTTCTTAGCTCTCTCATGCCACCTGGGACATGGCTGTTATTAATGTGATTTACAATTTTGAGTCTGCACTAAGAGAAAGGGGCAAGGGGGTCCCAGTGAGAGGTCAGCCCTCAGCCATCTAGAGGGAAGATACAGAGAGCTGACAGTTGCTACTTTGGGTGGCTGGCTTGTGCATACCACAAGCACCCTAACCTGCAGGCTCAGCAGGGTGTTCCCCTTGAAGAGCAGTACCCAGGGTTTCTAGGAAAAGGGAAGTGAGGCTGTTTTCAACTGTTCTAATCTCACACTTCCTCAAAACAAACACTCCTGGCAGCTTTGCCCTGCTCAGGGAGCCTAGTTGTTTCAGGGGTGCCTGTGGCTGTTTGAATGTGCTTCCCCTGGGGAGCGGGGCTTCCCCAGAGGGGAGTGGGTGTCTGAACACAGATCTCCATCTGTGCAGTGCAGAGTTTGGACTGGCTGAGCTCAAGAGCAAGAATTGGGGTGGATTTGTTCTTGTCTCAAATTAGCCAGTCTGTTGCAAAGGGGAATAAAGAAAGTGGCTTTCTGGGCTCGCTCTGTCTCTGTCTCTGTCTCTCTCTCTTTCTCTCTCTCTCTTCCCCTCTCCCTCTCCCTCTACCTCTCTCTATCTCTTTCTCTCTCTGTATGTATATGTGTGTGTGTGTCTGTGTATGTGTATGTGTGTGTCTCTCTCCCTCTCTGTCTCCCTCTTTCTATATATGTGTGTATGTGTGTATGTCTGTGTCTGTCTCTCTCCCTCTCCCCCCTTGCCAATATCCAGCATCTTCTTCAATAACCCCCTCCCTCTGTATTGAAACAAATCCTCTCTCTCTCTCTCTCTCTCTCTCTCTCTCTCTCTCTCTCCTCATCCCTCAGCTAAAGAATAGGGTTAAAAAGCCAATGAATAAAAATGGATTCAAATCAACATTGAAAATCCTCAGTCGAATTTCCCAGAGTTATTCATCATCCCAGAGTTATATATCCTTTGAGGCATTTGTATTCTCTATCCTCTAAGCATAGGCATGCTGGTGTTTTAAAAATAAGTTACAAATGTTATCCTTTCTATCCTTTAAATCATGAGAACAATTTATTGTAGATATTGTTCTATACTTTGAATATTTCAATCTAACTCTTTCCTGTTAATCACTGTGTATTAGCAAAGTGCTGCCATGAATTTAAGTACTACTCTACCTAGGAATGGAAATGCAGCCACATTCTGCATCAACAGTGTCTGACAGCTTTCTTCCAGAATTCTGACTTTTCAAACACCAGTATATCAGAGCTTCCTTGGGGTTGTGGGGTGCAGCATGCTCCTAGGGGTGACAAGTTGATTCTCTAGCAGACCAGGCAGTATATAGTTTAGATTTGGGGGGATCATAATCTCTGTCACAGCTACTTAACTTTATCACTGTAGCATGTAAGCTAGTGAGTGCAGTTACGTTCTAAGAAAACTTTATGTATGGCAAAAAGGGTGAGGGACCTTCTGTTTGGACACTGGAATATAAGTTGCAGGTAACTTATATGTATTATGAAATCGCATTTGTTTTTATTTTTGAACATTCAAAACTGAGAAGATGACATTGGTTCACCAGTTTTATGGGTAATAAATAGGGCAGGCTGATTTGCTAAGTTATCTGTGGGCTGATTTGCTAGGTTATCATCTGGTGGGTCCAGTAGGACTGAGTCCTCCCACTTTCTCTCTTTTACTGAGTAATCCTAACTCCTTGGTCTTGCATTCTGGATACAGGTCAGCTTTACTCTCTCATTCGGTAATTGTTGTAGTCATTGTTTTTCTGTTCAATTCAGCACATATTTATTGAGCTTCAAATATGTACCATGAATGGCCTTGCCCCTAAATTGCTTGTCTGCTCACAGTGGGAGCAGATCTTAAAGCTTTGTGTGCATGTGTGGGAGCACTGAAGGGGTGTCTGTGTGTGTTGCTGGGGACTGAACCCCACATTCTAGGCAAATACTATATCAATGTGCTATACTGTTAGCCCTGGAAGCAGATTTTAAAGTGAATACCTGCGTGATTACCAATGAGAAGAGCTGTAAATAGATCTGAGGTATTTGAAGAGAGTGTCACAGAGAGCCTGTGGGGCTGGGCATGTCCCTGGAGGTAGAAAGGACCAGGAAGGGGCAGAATGGGAAATACCTCTCCCAGCAACCCCTGGGCATCATTAATTATTATTACAGAGGAGAAGCAAGCAGCTCTGTCTTTCCTTCCAGATGTTGGTCTGCTGGGGTTTCCCCCGACTCCCTGTTTGGAGGCTGCCTGCCTGTCTGTAGCAGAGCACCTAGCAGAAGCCCTCCTTGTTTGCACAGTTGCCTCTGCCTCACACCTTGACTCCTGAGGCCTCTGAGTTAGTACCTCACCACTGGACTCCCCTTTCTGTCCCCTTTGGGTGCTTCATGCCAGCCCCTCCATCTGTCCAAGTGGCGGGTCATGGACAAGTCAGGCCCACTGCCCACGACTGCGAGCCACCGAGGACACTCTTCTCATCCTCTCAGAGGATAATTTTCAAATGCAGATGCCCCTCAAGGTGACATTCAAGATCTCTGATAAAATCCCCCACAGATGCCCCCCATCCTTTATAGAAGGAGGTGCAGTGTTTGCATAGAACTCTACACCCCCCCTCCCGTGGACTTTAAGTCATTTCTAGTTATGTATAGTGTCAATCCGATATCAATGCTATGTAAATACTCGTTACTCTGTATTGTTCGGGGAGCAGTGACGAGAAAAAAGCCTGTGCATGGTCAGAGGATATGCAGTTATCTCCCCCGAACGTCTCAGCCCTCTGTGACTGGTAGATCCACCAGTGCAGAACCCAAGGATCCTGAGAGTCCCCTGGCTTTCTCCCTGCCCCTAATCCCTAATCTGTCTTCCCCCAGAAGGCACTTGGGCATAATAATCACAATAAGCATTCTGTGCAAAGCCTCATTTACATTGGTGTCCCCTTCCTCTGAGAATCTGCTTGCATTTACATCCATTTAGGATTTCATGGATGAGGGTCTATGCCCTGCTTGCTGCCACTGGGTCAGGCCTTGGGTATACAAAACCAAATGAGAAAAAGACTGCTGGAAGAGACTGTAGCTCCAAAGAGGTCAGAGACGGGCAAACACCTACAAGCATTGCAGGCAATGACAAAGTGACAACGTGGGGTGGGACCTCCAGGGAGGAACCTGTCACCTGCATTGGGGTGTGTGTGTGTGTAAGGACTCTAAGAAGGGGCCCATGACAGAGGCATCTGACCAAGGTTGGAGCCTGAGCAGAGGATGAAGCAGCAGGAGAAAGGCAGGTCGGTGGGAACACAGAAGTGAGGGAAAGCTGGGATGTGATGTGACTCTTCACCCACTGGGCAGTAGAAAGCGGTGGAAAGTTTCCAAACAGTGGCAGGAACCCATTGCAACCATGCAGCAAGACTTCTCATGCAGTGGTGAAGGATTGGGGAACAGTGGGTATGGAGTAGACAGCCTAAATGAAAAGTGAAATAATGAGGTCAGCACTATCTACAGCAGTGGCCTGAAAGAGGGGGGCGCTGAACTCTGTCAGACAGGATGTGGCAGGCCTGCAGCAGGGAGCTTGCCTGCCTCCTGGCTTTCTGCCTTGTGTGGCAGTCATGAGGTAAGTAAGAGTGGGAGACACTCAGAAGAAGCCAGCTGGAAGGAAGGAGTTGAATCCGTGCTGCATGGTTGGTTCCTTGCTGCATATTCAGAAAGAGATGGTTAGCACCTGGAGGGATGCATCTGTGGCTCAAAGGACATCTGTGTCGCCCAAGAAAGTCCAGAGAATCCTGTGGATGTGTGGCCTAGCCTGCAGAGAGCAGAATTGATTCCGCCACTACTGACCACTGTCGTGCAGT